ATCTTAAAATTGAAGCTCGTTTGCAGACAGGCTCCCCGCAGCTCAGTGGGTAGAGCAATTTACCGCGAAAGCGGTCTCGGCTAGGAATCCTTTCCTGGGGAACTTCTCAATTTCATAAAATTAAAGCTCGTTTGCAGACAGGTTCCCCGCAGCTCAGTGAGTAGAGCAATTTACCGCGAAAGCGGTCTCAGCTAGGAATCCTTTCCTGGGAAATTTGTCAAGTTTTTTTTTCTGTTCTTTTTACTGTATTTTGTCTATTTTTTTTCTCTTTTTCTTTCCTGTCTTGCTAACAATAAATGCTTGAAATCTTAAGTTTACTCTCTTTTTTCAGATAACGCAATTTTATTTTCGAATTGATGGTATGTTAAGCCAAGAGATTATAAAAATTTTATAATCTATTGCTTTTAACCGAAACTTTTAATTAGGAAACACTTTGAAATTTGCTAACGATAAATTGAGATGGCTGATAGTCAATAACAACTACAAATGTAAGTCGACAGACTTTAATTTCGCCATGCCTCTGGAGTTGATCCGTACACTTTTTAGATGTAAACTTAAAATTTGGGTTCGACTTCAGACAAGTTCCTCGCATTTCAGTAGGTAGAGCAACCGACCGCGTTAGCGGTCCCAGCTGGGAATTAAATCCTTTGTGCGGTGAACTTGTCAATTGTTTTTATTTTGTTTTGCTTCGGTTTTTTTTTTATCTTTTTGGCTTGTTCCTTTTTTTATCTCTTTTCATTTCAGACCTTTCTGAAAATAATTTTTTTTAAATTTCTTCGAGTTCATGAAGAGTGTACGTTTTTCAAAAACTTCACAATTTGCGTTAGTGAAAGTCATCGTTAATTTCGTACTTCTTCTACTAATTTATTTCATTATGAATTGTTTTGAGGTTTCTGATACGTTCCCAAAAGGGCGTGGAGACAAAAATTTTGTCATATTTGTGACGAAATCGTCCCTGATTGGTTTGTTTCTCTATTCCATATTCATAGAAAATTCCAACTTTCTCGCAAACCAAACAGGCTTTGGACGGGTGAGGACGTGTTACTGTGAGGACGGTTTTTACCAAGAACATGTTTGAAGTTGGAACAAGACTGAAGCTGTCTGAAGGTGAGCATTGTGCTAAGATTTCAAAGTTGCTAGTTTCATTTTATTGCACTTAGTGTAAGAGTAATGAGCAAAGTTTAACAGTTAGTGCGCGTTCGGTTCGCTTCATTCTTCGCCTTCGACTGAAAGCTACTCTCGAAGAAATGTCGTTTATTTTGTTCGTATGGCAGAGAAAACGTGCACCAGTCTCTAGTTGCAACAAATGCTGTGTAATATTTAGCAAGAGAGAAATGATTCATCTTTGGTTAATTTTAGAAGAAAAAAACAGCTTGGCACGTTTGCCACATGCCACGTGTTTCTGAAGTTTTATGGCACTGGGCACTGGTATGCTCTTCTAAACTCGCGGAGGAATTGTCTTGTACAATTTCGCAAATGTGTTTTGTGATGAAGTTCGTCAGTGTCCCTGACACCATCGTTTTAGCGTCTCAAGTTCTGCCACCTCATTAAACTCGCCCTTCCACTTTGTTTTTGTTAGATTATTTAAAACGTTCGACATTAAACAACTCACCAAATACTCTTTCGCTTATTTCTGTTTAGAGGGAAAATGATTCATGGAAGAAGACAACAGAATAAAATAAATTCAGGAGGACAAACTGAACTTGATCATTGTGGAAGAAACTCTACAAAGATAAGAACTTTAAAATTATTTTATAATCTTAGCATAAATGGTGGCTGCCACAACTAAGTTATCTATTTCCTCAGGAACTTCAAACTATGGATAATTAGGAAAGAAAAACACATCTACGAAAGAAGTGTAGAAGACCTAGGAGTAGAAGTAATGTAGAAAAGAATGACGTAAAGGCTCTGGCAGCCACCAACAAGAGGTGGCACTGTAAAATAAATTATGTCGAAGGAAAAGTCTGAAAATTGGGAAGGTTAGAGATATTGTCCTGTTATTTAAGTCGCATTGCTTAACCAAACAAATTCAAACCTTTCTTTTGTAATAGAAAACACCATTTTGCTATGAACCATTTTATTATTTTGGCTTTTGGAAGATTACAAATGGAAAAAAAATGATTTATGTACGGGTAATTCGTCTAATTTTTGGTCAAAACATTCAGTGCCACCTCAAGTTATTCAAACCTTTATTGTAACGGACAAGAGAACAAAGGCAACCCAAAAGCACATTGGTGAAAACCATTCAATAGAGTTTGTTTCATTGGGGTGAAAGAATTAGGCCATTTAGCTGTTGCTTCTTGGATATCAGTTTGGTTACTTTAACGATACTTTCACCGCCATACACAACGACTGATATCGACGAACAGTACGCCGATATAATGCTCACCAGACAAGTTAAAGAGATGTTATCTCATCCTTTTAACTTGATTACGAATTGGAGGCAAACAACGCACCAAACAGTTAACTTAAAAAAACAGATATCAAAAACGTGATCACAACATAAATGATTTTATTGGACGAAACACCCACATTACCTCTGACCGTACTGATACGAAAACAGCTCAACTGCTAGGACAACATTTACAAGACTGTGCGTTGAGGGCACGCCCGAAATTGACCCAACAAATATACGACATCAGTGACCGATGTTTAAGAAAAAGATTGATCTCAAAAGAAAATGTGCTGCAACTAATTGGAAATTTACTCTACACTCTACACCGGAGAGACTGGCAAACTCGTCACAAGACTAACTGAACATCTGCTAACCAACGACAGTGACTGAGACTCAGCTCAAATATTTGACATACAGCACCAACTATATTGATCGACTGCATTTGAACAACTGGTTCACTAGCGGACAATTCTCAACGAATGTCAGAATAGATAATATTATACGTACCTACGCTGAACAATAAAGGGACTAACTTCACTATGACATAGCAAAAGGAACAAATCGAACGAACTACACTGACTTATTTCAACAGACAAACACTGATGACTCTCAACGCCAATGACATTATGACTAAAACATACCCCATCACTTTTCAATAAAAGTACTGGGTTTTTTTTGCGGCAACGTTCTCTTGTCATTTGTCATGTTACAGCTTTAGTTCATAAAACCTTTATGTCTGGTCCTGAGAAAGTATACAGACTCAAAATGGATCTTTAATGCGCCAAATCATATGCACTGCATAGCTGAGAGAATTGCTGATTTTTTTGTGAAAAACTTTTTGCATAAAAAAATTTAAATCAAAATTTCAATTAACGTTTCCTCGTATCTCGCGGAGACTACGAAATTTGTTACGATTTACTTTTCAAATCACAGTTCAGTTAAAAAGAGCTGTCAATAAACAAAAATATCCATGAAATTTCAAACGAAAAAAAACGTGGAAGCCGTAAGTTATAACTACTTCAGTTTTTTTAAAGGTATTGAAAAAAAAACAGTTTGGATCTTAAAAGAACAGCAAGCTTGAAAGTTTAAAAGATCAAATTGTGTTTTTCGAGAAAGCACTTTTTTCAGTTTTTTAAATTTTTTTCCTACTTGAAAATTATTTTTTTCCTTTTAGCTTTGTTTGCATAGGTCATTTCTCAACTCAATAAGCGAAAAGGAACGGAATTAAGTGTCGACTGTCGTCATGATTTTGATCTGTAAAAATCTTAAAGAATTTTACACTGAATGTAGCATGATGCGCATGAAATGTCTACTCTAAATATTCTTTGAATCAGACATTAGGTGTTATGATACTATTTGTAATTTAGGGAGACCTCTTTCAGCCATAAGTTAAATTGAATTGATTGAAAAAAAATGAGAATTTACTCAACCAGAATCTTACAACATTGACTTGCATACTAAGGCCAAGAAATCGCCTGATTGTCTTAATCACTTATAACCAAAAGCAAAATACAGTTAGCTTGGCCCATCAAAAAGAGAACGTGAAAGTTCATTTTGATTATAAAACATCACTTTCGTTAAACATCTGTCCTGTGAAAATTTCCCAAAAAAGGAAAAAAAATTATGGCTGAGAAAGATCTGGTTTGAAGCAACATGGCAAGCTTTAGGTATTTTGTGAGTCAAACTTGTATGCGAATCATAGCTTGCCATGTTGCTTATCTTTAAATGTAATTTGTATACATCATCTTGTGCAAAAGAAAAAATATTTAAAGACTAAAATTACTCGGAGAGAAAATCCTTTCTTAAGATTTGTAATAAGTGAACAAGAATTTGGTCAAACGTTTACAGAAATTAAAACCAAAGGCTATTCAAAAAGTTGCTTGAAGAAAGAATTGCACAAGGAGATGATTACATGAATTTTGGCGGAAAAATTCAAGGGAATCCATTTTGAATCTTGTGACGAAAATGTTGTCAGGGGAAACTCTGTGCAAATTCTACCAAATTTTCCCGCCAAAAGTCTTAGTATATATTTGAACGAATTTTTCTTCACACTTTTATGATTAATTAACTGAAGTTTAATTATCGAATTAAGGATTTTAATGTGAATAGAACAATTGTAAGACAAAATATTTTTATTATATTTGACTTGAAGAATTTCATAGATGAAAAATGAAGATAACGCAATAAAGAAATGAACATACAACACTATTGAGTTTAGTGACTTTTATTAAATAACAACATAGAAATTAAATCTTAAATATCACTCGAAAAGAAAAAAAATAATCGGCGCATGCTTATTTTGGGCGCCTTTATTTTTTCCGCGGGAAATAATTTTCTTGAAGAGACCTTACTTGAAATTAAAAAAAAAAACTGGCGCATGCGTATTTTGAGCGCCCCGTATTTTTCTAAGTTTTTTGGCGGGAAAAATAAAATCTATTAAACAAATGTCACTTAGAAAAAAATTTCTGTTGAAAATTAACATGGAACGACGAAACAAAATTAGTACTAAAATCGAAACGAGGTTTTGGCAAAGCGAACGAAACAAATTTAGCGAGGGTTTTCTTCGACTTCAAGTTGAGCTCTTGTAAAATCTCTTTTCTACCTCTGCTTTGAAGTTCAGCTTTCCGCCATTAAGAAACCTTCAACAGAACGAACAAATACATCAACCATAACACGTTTAAGATTTAATAAACTAGCAAAGATTCGCCATCTGGTGTCAACGTCAAGTTCAGCGTACTGATCAATCAGTGCAAATTTCAAAATTTACCGTCATCCGAATATTGCTTCGTAAGCACACTTGCCAGGAAAGTCATGGAATTTTTCATACTCGTCTTCTTCGATTATCCTCTTCATTCTCATTACTGACAATTTACAAAGATAACAAAATGTAACCTGTACATGCAGATTGCTGTGCGCCCGGTAAATCAAATATTCTATCTCTAGAAAGATGTGGAAATTTCCTTGCATTATATGTGTCAAATGCACGGACCAAAGAAGAATTCTGGCATCACAATTTTCACAACGTAAGTTTTGATTGTTTTAAAGGTGACTCAACTCTCCTTGCTATGAAGCAAAATTCATAGGTTCCTTCTTGCTCAGCTCAATTACAGTTCTTTGTTTAATTTTATTCGAACATAACAGCGACGTTTAATGCCAGGAAGCCTTAGCATTTTTTAACAGTATTTTAACATTTGCGAAAAGATGTGTTTCCACATGCAAGAGTCGACCAAAATGCAAATCAGTTGATGCTTAACGTAGGAGGCGTCAAGGAATGTTAATTTAAAAGTACATTTTTGGTGTCGACGGGAGCATACTTTTAATATTTGGTTTTTCAAAAACATAATAAAACTCAAAAACTTTTGAACAAAATTAAATAAAATCAAGACTGCCAGCATATTACTTGAAATCTGTCTGAGTGCTGACCATATGCTTACTGATATACAATAAAATCATATAATCACATCCGTTTGACTTCATCGAAGACTTGAAAGATAAAAGTTTCAAATGTAACATCTCCACATCAGTAAAACTCTCGTGAATACTTTACGAATGTTTTGCTTTGTTCTATTTTGTTTGTTTTTCTCTATTAAAATTTTTTTTGCCTCGGCACTAGCAAACAAATCTATACGGAGAAGAGCGAGTAACATCCAAGTAACAACTCTTGTGTATACTTTTTCATTTCGCACCCTTGATATTTTAAACAAATGTTTTGCTTTGTTTTATTTTGTTTTGTTTTGTTTTTCTTTATTACTGAAAACAGTTTTTCCTCATACAAACAAATCTATCTGAGGAAGAGTGAATAACATCCAAGTTCGCTTTAAACGTCACGCTTAAACTCGATATTTCTCCATGGTAAACTTAAATTCTAGATATTCTAAAAGACGATTGAAGGAAATGCAGCATAGAATACCAAGAAAAAAACAAAGAAGAAAATTGAACTTCGAAGCAAACCGTGATTTTCAAAAGGAACAAAATAATTCGTAAAAAAACATGAGCTATGGTCAAAAGCTCGTACATCGGGTCTCCACAATACTCTTCTACTTAATTTGTGTTGCCAATCAGTTTTGGAAGCCAAAGAGAAGTTTTAAAGACACATCTTGTCAAAACTACTTTATGCTGATAGCGATCTGCATGTACTGTTATCCATCCAATTAAGATTTAAGAAGAAATTAAATAGTAATAACTATTTATTCAAAACAACCAACTCACCTTGTTAAGAATACGTTATGTCGCGTCCAGTCTCTTCACGTCCACCATCTGCCTGTCGAAAGAAGAATGACAAGTTAGAATAGCAAGTAATAGGAGAGTTCACATAGTTTCTGGTGAAACTCATTTATTGGAATCTCACAACACGAATACTTGGTAAAGCAATCTTCAACTGAGTGTCAAAAGCGATCCGGAATTGCATTGCTTTCGTTTCACTACGCTCTATGATTGGTCAAGAAACTTCGCGCTAATCTCTTAACTTATCAGATGCAAAACTATAACCATTGCTGACTCAGTCACAGACGTTTTCCCGCGCTTCAGCCAGATTGTTTGTATCTATACCGAGTTTTTATTGGCTCCCTATGAAAAATTTCGTTCTTCCGATTGGCTGTTGCGACTACTTTGGTTTCAACCGTTCAACCGAAAAACACTCCATTACGCTAATTTAATCAAGTCAAGTTCAAGTTTATTGAAAACCATTAACTTAACAAAGAATAGATTAAAAATATAGCATAAGTAGTGAGGAGACCTCAAGAAACCCTGGGGCTTATATTAAAAATTTCTCTAGTAAATTATCAATGAATTATAAATACCAGGTGGCAAGCTGAAAAGCATGACAAATTCTGACGACTGTTCGTTTTTATTTTTGTATTGTTTATTTGTTGACTTTCGTGGTTGTTGTTGTTGTTTTTCTTTTGTTTGTTTGTTTGTTTGAATTTTGTTGTATTTTGATTAATAATTGAGAAAATCAAGAAACTTTCTTTTGAAGGACGATCAACTATGAGAAGAGGTGACTAAAGGGGATAAAGCATTCTATATTTTTGGCCCTTGGTAGTGTAAAGTGAAATGTTTAATGTTCGCTTTACAGATGTGTAACCTTGCACTAAATAAAGATAAAACATCTTGATCACTGTTCCTGATTTAAACGGCTTAATAACCGCTTTTTGAGGTCTGCAAGATGGCAATGAATGAGTTCTAAGACAATACGAGGCTGGTGGGTTATCATAATCTCTCTCTCTTATAAGACTCAATACTCTCCAACGATCTTCAAATATTATGAATATAAACTGATCTGACATAGATATGACTCGATTAATGATATTTTACCTTTCCAGCATTGCTTCAGCCCTGATTACCTATTTTAATTACCAGAACAGGAATATGATGTAGACATAAATCGACTATATATCCCCTTTCTCCCCCCTCCCCTCCCTTCCTGATTTAACCCTTATTTCACAATATCAATACCAAATCAAGAAGACAAGTGATGAGAACCAAGAAAAGTATCAATTAGGGGATTATTAGTTGATCCAATACCAAATTCTCAGAAGTAACATCCGAAGAATTGTATAGCAGACAGTAAGAAGGATTACTAATGAGATCTTGGGATTTAAAGGGTTAAGACTCATCCACAGGTTAGCCAACATTTAATCTGGTTATTAGCCTCGTCGATTATAAACATTTCCCTCGAGATTTCTTTGTTTTGAGCGATACTTCGGATGGCGTATTAAAGCTTACTTTTGAAAAAAAAGGAAATGAAAAGAGTATGTCGGTTACAGGTTCCCCCCCTGCTTTCCTTCCCGATATGTGACTCTCCGTTTAAAAGCTTATCGCAAACCTCTCACGAAAATGTATCAGCAATGGTTTGAAGAGCGACAGCTTGTAGTGTAAAATTAATTGAGCCACTGAAAATAGAGAAAATGTCCCTGGCTGACCCTCTCTTAACCTTTCCATTCCCATGATCTCAACAGTAATCCTCTTTACTGTCTGCTATATAATTCTTATAACGTTACTTTGGAGAATTTAGTATTGGATCGCCTTATAGTCCCTTAATTGATGCTTTTCTTTATTCTCATCACTTGCCTGATTGATATTGTATTGACATTGTAAGGAGAAATTCTGTCTTGGTCACTCATGGGAGGTAAAGGGTTAAACGATGCCGGTTGAGAATGCATTAGTGGTTTTGCCGCCCCTTACGTGCAAGAAAGCTTTCGGGAAGTTGCATGCGAAGCGATATCTTAAAACACGTGAATATACTTATTTCTTTCGTGAGCAAAATGAACACGTCTTTCTTACATACCATGAACAGAAATAAGCCATTTGACTTTCGTCTCCGCTTCACACCATGATCATGTTCACCAAGGTTGCCTCCAATTCCATCGGTTCGCGACTTTCCTTCCGAAGAACATGATTCAAAACTCCACGTGGATGAATTTCTATGTACTTCATGACAGGCAACGAGAAACCTTGGTATTCAAGAGCTGTGTTCGTCGAATTCTCATCGCAAGAACCTCAACTTTCAAACTCCTTGAAGATGTGATGAATCAAACTGCATTCTAAATGAGCAAAACGGAAAATTTGCAATGTAAATGAATTTAGTTCTTAATGCACGCGGGTATTTCATAAGCTACGCGAAAGGGAGGCACCGGTTAGGTTTGAAGAGACAAGCCAACGAAAATTTCGCTTCAAATCAATAACGTTACGTAAAATATATTCTTAAGATGATAGAAACCAAAAACTGTCCAAACCGTAGCTCGAAAGGAAAACCGCGGGGGAAGTTTTATTACGTTCTCCTAAAGAAAATAAAACTGATTAAAAAGTACAACAAACGTTAAACGAAAAATCAGACCTATGGGAGAACAACATTGGTATGAAGATCGAAACGCGCCAATGACAGCGCGCCGAAAAAAAAATTCAAAAGAAGTTGGACAATCAACCATATCAACATTTAAGTCAAAGGTAACAATTCGACCTCATCGCTTGACCATGCGTAGTAGTTAAACGTCGGGATCTGCCATGGATGACTTCTTTTAATTGTGGGACAATGATGCAGCGTTCGCTTTTCAAATTGATAATGCTAGTCCATCTGTGAACCAATCAAGTGCTAAGCGAACCAGTCAGTTAATTGGTAAATAATGGTAATTAAAATGAATGGAGTGCAATTTGTCTGAAATCATAAACGTGTAAGTATGATTTCAGACCAAAATTGCAAGACACGAAGTTCGATTACCATTTTATTACAACCATTTTGAAATCGAAAAATTCAGTCACTCAGATACAGGATGTTTTTGTCTGGACAAATGTTTTATTGATCCAGTGGTGAGCTGGTTTATAGAAAGTTGATAAAGTTGTTTTTAGTTTCCTGCAATTTGATTGGTTTGTTCAAACAAGCGATTTGTTGTTGCATTTTTAATAAAGTTTCTTCATTGGCTGGGGAAAAGATGCAATTTAGAGCAAAACATGTTGCAATTTAGAGCAAAACATGTTGCGATTTAGAGCAAAACATGGTGCGATTCGTGAATGAATCGCACCAATGAGAGCCAATCAGATAACAAGGTTCACCAGTTATTTCCGAATGAATGTAATAAACCAATCAATTGTTGAGTTTATCAATTAATCAATTAAATTGGACAATTAAGTAATGAACCTAGAAGTTAGTCAATCAATAGCCCACTCAAGTGCTAACCTGATCAGTTTTTTCACTCATTTTACCAATAAATTGATAAGCCAATCAATACATCATTAAGTTAGAAGATTAAGCTATCAGCCTCACAGTTAGCTAATCACTGGAATAATCGAGTCATCGGCCTCTTGGCTAGTCAATATTCCAACCAGTTAAGTAATAAGTTTGCAGTCAGTTCAAGAGTTAGACAATTAACCTTTAAGCCTACCATTCTTTCAAGGGGTAAATCTTCTACCATATACAACTATAGTTCCATAAATAAGTGAGACTATCAATGGGTTTGTCTGTCATTCAGACAGTCAGTTGGTTAATCAGTCAGTCAGTTAGTCAGTCAATGGGTTTGTCAGTCATTCAGATGGTCAGTTGGTCTATCAGTCAGTCAGTTATGAAGACAGTCAGCCAGTGAGCCAGCCATTTGATAAGCCTTGCATATGTTCAATCAAACATCAGTTTTCAGTAAGTTCTAAACCTATTGATGGTCACAGCCAGTCAAATGTTAAATCAATCAGTCAGTTGGTCATTATGCCAGTCAAGTGATAAGCCTTTCATTGGCAAAAGAAACAGTCATACAGCACACCTCACAATCAGTCGTTGAGTAAGTAAGTCAATGAAGTGATTGGCCTCGTGGTCCATCAAAAAAAAAAACAAATCAAGATAAAAACCTTTCCAGTTGAAAAAAAAACAGTCAATTCATGGACAAGCATCGTATCAAAGTTAAGAGTATCAAGTGATAGGTTACTGGTAATTACTTAGTCAAAAATTCCTGATCTTATGAAATTTTTTTTTGTAAAATTTACTACACTAAATCTTGTGTCACAGCTTCTTTAAATTCAAATCCTAAAATAGGAACCAACTTCATAGGGAAAGTTTCAGCCTGTCAGTCAATTAGTAGGCATATCAAGAAACAATCTTTCAGTCATTCATTGGATCAATCAATCAAGTGATAAATCCATCAGTTGGCCAGTCTCTTAGCCAATGAAGTGGCACAGCTCTCAGCTTGTCAATCAGCAAGCCAATCAAAAGCTTTATAAACCTAATGTTCACTAGCTATAAGTGAACAACAAGTGATTGGCCTGTCATTCAGAGAGAATCAGGTAAAAAGCCTTTACTTATATACTCGCCACTAATTGATTTATCTTATGAACAAACTGGGATTGGTAGGAATTTCATTCAAATGTGCATACTGTACTTTCACCATGATGCATGGAAATTTCCCAATCACCATGCCCCATCCCCTTTCCAAATGATTTTCCAATACTTCAAGCCATTTTATTCACCGGTTCTGAACAGCAAATGAGCTGGAACAGACAGCTCTGATAGCCCTGGTTCACTTGAAATGGAGTCACAGTAACAGAAAACACTGTGAAGAAGGAGAGATATGTGAAAAGGTAGCACAGCAAACAGGGAGCTCTTGTGAAATTGTGGGTTGAACACAGTAAGCAGCTTAAGAGCAAAGATTTGTACAAAACATCAAATTGCACCTAAGATTAGAAATTAGAACTACTTGGTATATAGCGACAAATCTATTTATGAACTAAGATAAAGTATCTGATTAAAATAGACCATAATGTTAGAAGAACATGTAAAGTGAAGGACGAGAAAAGTAACTGATTTACTTTGAGGAAATATATCTGGTCCTTTGATGTAGTGAGAGGCTGTTAAGTATGGAGAGAGACTGACACAGAGTAGCTTAAGAACAAATTTAACAGGAAGGGGGTGAGTGGAAATGTAATACAAAATCAATTATCTCCAGATTTCGGATAACTAGAGATTGAGATCTCTGCCATTACTGACTTATCACTAGGACAAGCTTAGGACAGAATTAAACCTGGTTTACATACCATTAAGGTGGCTGGTTACAGTTTCCAGTACTTTTTAAGACTTAGAGTTTGATGGGTCATTATAACCATTCTATACCGGTTGACGCCAAAATCATGGTATCAACAAACTGCCCAATCATCGGAGAACAAGTTGCTGTTAATTTTCGAAAATTTAAGGTGGCTCTGAACCCCAACCGCAGAATTTTTTTAAACTTTGCAAAAAGTTGCATCTTATCATGTTAATTACAATTCGATAATAAAAAATGGGGTCACCAAGCTCGTTTTTGAGTTATAAGCGCTTAAAGCTAAAATTAAGGGTGTTTTTAGCAGGCCATATTGTTGCTATGGTAACCTATTGTGCCACGAAATTAACAGCAACTTGTTCCCCGATGATTGGGCAGTTTGTTGATACCATGATTTTGGCGTCAACCGGTATAGAATGGTTATAATGACCCATCAAACTCATAAGTCTTGAAAAGTACTGGAAACTGTTACCAGCCACCTTAAGAGGGAGGGGGAGGGAAAAATATTGCCACTCCCCATGCAGGATGGGCAAGTAAGTAAATCACAGGTTAACCTCCAGACAGTTTACCAGCATCCATTTATAATAAGAGTTAAGATTCTTGCAGACCTCATACTCCAGAGTCTGGAGTATGAGGTGGCAACTAAGTAATCCAAAACGTCAAGCATGCCATCTTTAGAGTGATATCAATATGGTCCATTCCTTGTGGTAGTGGTGTCTTGTGAGAAGAAGAATTTTGCTTTTGAACATAATCAGGGTAATTTAGTATTATCAACTGAGTTGATAATATGAATAGGGCACCGTAAAAAGTTTAATTTCAAAGCTGACGTTTCGAGCTTTAGTCCTTTGTCAGAGCGAATGACGATGAGCTCTGATGAAGGACTAACGCTCGAGACGTCATCTTTAAAACTCTGCGGTGGCCAATTTACATTATATCAACTCAGTTGATAATACTAAGTTACCCTGTTACACTCTCCCACCGATGCAGCACCTCTGTTTCTTTAGAGACTAACCCCCTTACATGATCAGCCATGTATGATCAGTTAACTCTCCCAATTCACTTAGTGTAGTAGTAGACTAGTAGTAAAATATGGGTTAGAATTGGTTTGAATACCAATTTCTCTGATTGCTCAGAGCTAGAGTTGTTTTGCATAATATGATGATCACAAGAATAATAAAGAAGTCTACAAAAAACAAATGGAGGAGGGGTCAAATGGAAGGCAAGCAGGTCCTCAGAAAGTAATTATCCATTTCCACACTCACCTTCATGACGCGGTGTGAATCAGTGCCACAGTTTCAACACGAGCTTGTTCTCTGTGCATTTCTTTTTTAGTTTTGTTTTGTATTTCGTTAATCCTTAAAAATATTTACCTCCAAGGAGAAACGTCCATTAGCTTGAATAGCAATTTTTCTGAGCCGTAGATCGATGACTTTTGGGCTGCCGCAAACGCCGCCATGTTCTTTTTGGAGTTTATATTAAAATCAGTATACAGGAACGGACTCATTGACTACGGGTCTGGGATTGTTAAAAGAAGAATCCCAATTCATTAGACCTCTTCAGGACAGGGAATATTTTCGGTAACGGAAGGTTTCTGCGAAAGGCGTTTCACGAACGAAGGGACGCTGGTTCCAAAGGGTTCAAGTTATCTAAAGTTTCGACAAACCGTCTTTATAATATAGCGTGCTAGCCCTACATAAGTCCTATTGAGCCGCTATGAACAAAGTCTTTATTTACACACGCCCGTGCGTAAATAATATGACTTGAGCATTTTTTTACCTGGCTTCAGAGTTTCCGTCTTGTTAAGCTGCAGTGCAGTTTTCCTTCTCTTTGAAATATGGAAGAAACCAGCGAAGAACTGCCTAATTTTTCTATCGGCATTGACCTTTTAGGTCCTGATCCGACAAGCAACAAAAATAAAGCCGAAAAAAACTCGCAAGTTGCAAGTTTCGCAAATTTGTTGATAGACCAGCTGCAGCAAATTTTGCTTCTTCGCGCAGATCCTTGTTGTCGCTCTGTTATAGAAGAATTTGCTCATGCTTTTAGCTGTGCGTATATAGAGTTATGGATGCACTTGAGAAGTTTGGAGAGCACTCATAAAGCTAGAGTTGCTCTCGGCTGCGCCTCGAGCTACTCTTACGCATTTTTCGTGCTCTCCAAACTTCCCGCGTGCATCCATAACTCGATCATACGCACGCTAAGCATGAACAAATTCTTAATTTCTGTTCGTCATTGTTTCTTTAATTTTATCTACCAAGAAATCGTGTGTAAGGGTTTTATTGAATTTCTTGTTGTTCTTGCGACCCACTGAAGATAATTTGTCAAAAAATCATCACCAAAATCTCAAGAAAAAAACATGAAATAAAGAACATGGTAGTCCACTGATGAAACGATGGACGATTTCAAGTCAACGTAATACGACACTTTCTTGGAGGATTGAGGGTCTTCAACAAGTAATATTTCATAAATTTAGGAATAAATTAAAACATTAGACTTGTTTTCTGAAGCAAATTCTGCGTTCTCGTTGGTCTACGAACTCGACCTACACCGGAGAGAGATTACGCATAAGAAAACATAATTTGGTTCGCCAATCACTGATGAATTCTTGATAAAAAAAAAAATTCAGTACAACACACACACACACACAAACACAAAACCTTTTTACAAAGTAATGATGTTGCAGTCTGTACCAAGAGAGTGAAGACCAATAGACAAGAAAAGCTGAAATACACGCCACCCATTGCGAAAATAAAGGACTTGGCTCTTAAACCCTAGTAAACTGTTGTCATAGCATCCTTCCCAAACCTCGATATCCTCTCCTTCTTTAAAATAATCTAATCGTTGAATAGAGACATTACAATGCAAGCGCTGGTCTTTATCAAGCCTTAACACCCTCGAGACAAAATGTGATGGGTCGTGTAGAACAGACATGCACGGCCTGGTAGTTTGGGTTCCAGTGAGATCTCAAATTAGCTTCAATGACCCACAAGGTCATATCGTCGAACAAAAAGAGCCCTTTATTAGAATTTTTGTGGACGTGTCTTAAGTTCAAGTTTAATCAACAGTACCAGTAGTGTTTATATACACCCTACTTCACTCACTCATCGGTTGCTGTTTGATCGGTTGTGGGAGGAGAAACAAATCAGTACGCTGAAGAAACGAAATCGAACGCTTATTTCGTACGGTAAGTTAGTAATCATGTCCGTGAAGTTTAGCAGGCGTGCCGACTATAACTCGATTCGCGTCTGTTTGTGTTGCGAGCATGACACGACTGTTAACTCTATACTTACCGGCAGTAAATCTTAACTCAAGATCTGTTGGAGCGATTAAATGCAAAATGTTTCCGTAGAGTTAGCCTATAAACTCTATTGCAAATCAGCGACGGTGTTTAGTCAACTTCCATACCGCCACCAAGATTACTGTGCCCTTTAGAAAGAGTTCCTATTAACGCGATCATTTGCAGTTGATGATTTCCTTAGGGTATTTTTAAAACTCATCCGTACACAAAAGGTGACAAAACTAACAAGGAATTGCAGTTAAAGCGCCAGCCATTTTCCGTGAGTTTATTCCACGCTTGAGTTACTTTACAACCTTCATGTGCATAACTTAGCTCGTTGTGACGAAAAAGTACATATAGTTGATCACGCGAACTGAACATTTGATAGTGAACGCCAAATCTTTCTTCTTACATAACGAAAGCATGAATTTTAAGTTCTTAAATCGAGAGCAAAAAATCAAAAAATGTTTTTTTTTCTGAAATACAATTAGGCATGTACATGTTTGATTCGATGAGTTTTGCTCCGTTTACCGAATATTGCAGACATTATTGTGACATGCAAATACGAATATGGCAGTTAAGAGGCAGATAGGGTGACAGATAAAGAATTTCATTACCGCGAGTTAGCCCAGACAAACAATTTGTATTATAGCTACAGGGAGGTTATGCACATGAATGGACAAATAATACCATTTTAAGTAATCATCAGTAACGCCTAGAGAGATACACAATTCTCTCTTGAGAATTTTTTTAAGCATTTATATTCTTTGGTATTTGATTCAATTTTTTCCTTAAGAGCAATTGATATTACGATAAAATCCATTTTGCTTTTTGTTAGACATATTTAATCCTAAAGTCCCGTCTTTGTAATTAATTGGCTTCAGGAAATTTCGGCCTGATTACTTTCGTTAATAATGCTCGAAAAGTTTCAGTTACCCAGAAGATCTCAAGATAATTCGATTGGCTTTTAAAAACATTTTCTATTGTAATGCCGAGACTGAAGAAGGTCATGGCTTTCAAAACACGCCAAACGCCAACAAAAAGCTAAATTCCGCGTAAGAGCTTGACATGCATTTTCCCGTTCATAATAAGCGAAACTGGCACGACCGTGAGCTTAACGTGTGGTTAAAGCGGTAGGACAGAGCTATTTCGGTGCGGATCATTTTGGAAACCAGCATAGTGCCGGCTCAACAGACGAGTCTTCTTAATCTCTTTCTTTTCCTTTTTTTCTGCAAAAGAAATGGCAGCTCAGGTTACTTTGCCATGGTCCAAATTTAGCTGAGGCCAATGACGATGGGAAAAAGCGCACTAAATCATGAACAAAATTCAGAATTTAATCTAAATACTACCATAAAACTTGCCTCAAAATCTGCGTGCAGTCGATATCTGAGTGCAGAAAAAGCGTATAAAAAGGAAGCGTAGGCATTCTCTTCTCAAACTGTTCACCAACTCAATTTCTGCTCATTAGCTTGTGAACAAGCGCATTGAAGGCTGACTTAACCACCCCCCTCCCCCTTAGTCACGCCTTTTTTGGCTTTTCTCTTAATTCTGGTGTTGTAGAAGAGAGAGATACCGGTGGTTATAGGGCTAAAATCTGGATCGAGAGCTCCGCTTTCCAGCCTTTGCCGAGACGACGGAAATCGGTGTAAACTTAGATGGAGATGGGCCTCTAGACTCCCAACCCTTGCCCACAATCCCCACTCAGGGTTATGCAGGCTCAGCGTGATAGAAAAACGATGATTTTGGGTCGCGAGCGTGTAGAATAAGGTTACAGATCAAAAACGCCTCTCTGAGCCTCTTCGATCTAAAGAATTATTATCTCCTATTGAAATCGAAGTAGTTTACTCCATCTCCACATTTCCTCTGATCGTTAGACTTTGACATGATGAGCGGAACTAAGGACAAGGGAGAACTGTTGATTATAGCTAATTTGGCTGAGCAGTCAGAAAGATATGATGGTAAGTAACCCATTTTATTTTCCGTGCGTGTTTTACGAGATTATTTCAGAAAAGCCTCGTCAGTTTAACCTTTTCTACCCGGGAGGGGGGAGGGACACTTGGGTCGATTTTTGCGAGATATATTCCACTGACCTCTCAGAACTCCCTACCCCATGATAGTGGGAGCCAACTATAGAACCCATCTAAGTCACTCTTGGGCAAATGCGATTTTTGCGATCTCAACTTAGTCACTTGTTAATCGTGAATCTTCTCATTTTTAAATCTCTAATTACCAGAATTTTCTTACCTCCAAAATCCTTAAACTGTGCGACCCCACTCTATTGAAAATGCAATCCCATCCATTAACCTATCACCAGGAAGTTCCCCCCCTCCCCCCAGGTCACTACCCTGCCTCTGTCACAATTGGAACGCTGAAAGCATAGCCACAAAGGTGCTTATGGTCGACATAATCTAACTAAACCCTACAACTCCTATGCGTGACCAAGACAGACTAATGAGATCTTATGAGTGAAAGAGTTAAAGAGAATCATCAATCTAGTCTACGATTATTTCGACGCGGAAACTCGAATTCCAGAGTACATAAACGCAGGCATACAAACATATATTTATTCATTGTATTCTGCGTGTGACATCCTAAAAATTGCTTTGATATCAGTCGAGGAGCTCTTCTATTTCCTCTATGCCTCAGATTCATTTCTTGTAGATAATAACTACCTTAAGGATGAAATGGCAGCAAATGTAATTGAATATCGAAAATTATCCAGTGCTGGGCTTTGGCTAAGTGATTGGTTCGAAATTCTCGCCTTCTTAACCAATCAGATGTCGAACTGAGGCTATTCTACACCTCGGTTACTTGCGTTTTCCCGCGCTTCAGGCGGGTTGCTGTGTTCACTTTGAGATATTTTTCTGATTGGCTGTCGTAATAGCTTGGTTTTGGTTTTACGACATTTAATCGAAAAGCACTCTAGGTCTGATCGTTATGTTGCTAGTGGTAACCAAGCTTTATCTGAAATATTACTTGTAATTTCAGCCGACTTTTCACTCGACAGCTGAGAATAACCGTTACTGATGAACCGCCTTCTATTTTTTTTTTTATAAGATATGCTGGAAGCTATGAAAAGCATAGTGGTAATGTCTAAAGTTCTGGAGACAGAGGAGCGAAATATGCTGTCTGTGGCCTACAAAAACGTTATCGGTGCCAGACGTGCAGCATGGAGAATATTCAGTGGCCTGGAGGTGAAACACGAAGGGGACGCTAAGAGCAAAAAAACTGTGACAGAATACAGGGAGAAGGTAGAAAAGGAGATACAAGAAATATCCTCCGGAATTTTGAAACTTTTAGATGATCATCTTATACCGAATGCTGACACAGAAGAGTCTAAAGTATTTTTCTATAAAATGTAAGTGGATTTGAGATTATTGAAATGGAATGGGTTATATTTATCGTTAGGGACCATTCATTTATTACCGGGGATGGGGGGGAGGGGGGGGTGAGGGTGTCAGAGGATTTTTGGGGAGGTCACATGGTTTTTCAAGAGAACAGAGGAGTCAGTCGGTCTTTAACAGGGGTCAGAGAGGGGACTGTGGAAAACTGATTGCCAATAAGGGAGGGGGGGGTAGTGTCATTAGATTACTACAGAGCCTTTTTCAGAGCCTTATAGGGAGCTTAGGTATAAGTTATTGTGGCACGAATAAAACTTCCCCCCCTTGGCACGTGCGAAGCATCTCCTAAGTCTTCAGCCATTCGTTGGTTTTATAGTCATAGTTTTGTTTCATTTAGACTTGTCTCAGCGATAAGTGGTCGAAGCTGAGGTACAATTTCAAGGGTAGCACGTGTTAAAGCACTGTGATTGTTGGAAAACAAATCTTGAAGTTCTCCCAAGCTCCCAAATATAAAAATTACGCCTAGAAGCGGATAATAAGAGCGTTCTTGCGCTTACATAAGATTGATAGCGCTAAAATGCAGTGAGGAATATTATAAGTAAAGTGTAAAAGATCACCCTTGGAAACAGTAGCAGGACATGCAACATGTCCAAAAACGTGGAGTACTATGTAAACTTTGGTCTATGAGGTAAACTTTCCTTCAACAAAAGGAAAAAAAAGAAAGAGCTACGCTATCACTAGCTTTAGAACAACAATTTCCATTTGAGGGCCTAAATTGATGCGGGGTTGATTGTTTGGTTTTTTTAGTACCCTTTGTGATTGGTCTGGAAAGCTTGCAGTAGCGTCTACCCCAACCAGTCATCGACAATAAGATGCAAAACCTTAAGTAATCGGGACTTTTCCTTGCATGTGTTTCCTGCGAAATTTCATTATACCTCCTTGGATACTTGTCTTTGTTTCGATGTGTTATTTTGATTATACTTAAATTTTGATTTAATTTACGACATTCGAATGAAAAGCGCATTACATCTGAATACACTTTAGGAGAACAGTTTACTGAAATTTAGTCTTTGAGGGAGAAAAATGCTAGCATGTCCGCTTGCAGGTGGAGTTCTGATTCATTCTTCGGGAATAGGGAGAGGGAAGTTTAGTTAATCAATATCTCTGGTGGCTCTCTGATCTTCGGCTGGCACTGAAGATAACGAGTGAGTGTTTCCTGGCCACGATTTATCTTTCCTCCCTCATCTCTGATTTCCAGGAAGGGCGATTACTACCGATACCTCACGGAGATTTTACAAGGCGATGAACGTAAGGCCCCATCAAACCAAGCGTTGGAGGCCTACAAAGCTGCAGATGAAGCTGCCTCCAGGCTGCAGTCCACGCACCCCATCCGACTGGGCTTGGCACTAAACTTCTCCGTGTTCTACTATGAGATACTCGATTCCCCAGATGCTGCCTGTAAACTGGCGAAGGCAGCGTTTGATGAGGCTGTGAAGGATCTGGACCCGTCCGGAAACGAAAGCCAATACAAAGAGAGCACTTTGATTATGCAGCTTCTGAGAGATAATTTGACACTATGGACTTCGGAAATGCAGGAGGAAGGTGAGTGCGGCATAAACGATCGGTTTTGCTCTACCACGCCCTCAATAAGGATTAGTAATAATAATGTTAATAATAATAGCGGAGCTTGCAGCGCGCGCAGCGTATCAATGTGATTCTGTGGTCTGATCGTCCGGGTAAGTGAGGTCACTGACCAAAAATTCAACTTATCCCCTCGGTAATGAAAGCTGTTACAACAGGAGTTAGAAATATTTGTAAATCAGTCCTATTGTGTTCTTAAAATCCCATATGAATAGGTTAAAACGTATTTCAAACGAGGAGACTTATTACCCGTTCCTTAAAGACCTTGACGAAGCACAGACCTTTACGTGATTGCAACTTCAATTGAGACTTTTGTTAACGGAAAATTGGGTATTGCTTAGATTTAACTTGGATTTGACGCATTGGCATATAAGAGAGAGGCGAAAGAACTCCATAGACGTTGTTCTGGAGAAGTGTCCCACAAAATTAGTGTGAGAGTGTACCTTATTATAAGTTAAACAGGGGTGTAATTTACCACTTATACTATTACCCAGGTAACATTGGAGGAACAGAAAGATGATTTCAACGAATTTACCAATCATGCATTTCGGTGTACGAAGATGCTACTACAGTTTCAGAATATATTTTGAACAAAGTCTCTGCCATGCTGATGTAGCATTAATACAAAGTTCGTATGAGTGACAAAGACGTAATTTCTCCTCACAATATCCATACAATATCAAGGAAAACGTGATGAGAATAAAGAAAATTATCAATTAAGGGATTATCAGTTGATCTAATACCAAATTTTCCAAACTAACATCATAACGATTGTATGGTAGATTGTGAGGACTAAATAATGAGATCTTTGGTGTTAAAGGGTTAACTTAATCTCGTACCAAGATCTTACCGTTTAACTGTGACTGAAATGTACAACAGCTTGGCCGTGGAAGGTCTGAGTATGAGACTAGGGTTAAATACTTTACTGATTGATGCCATATTCTATTTTTCACTTTCAGGTGTAGAAGACGACTGAGTCAGCCATATCTATTATCAACATTGAAAAAACTGACCTTGTCTTAAGGAAAATTAATCTAGCTGGACGATAACTGAAACACTTATCATAGAAAGAATATTTTATTTCTAAACCTCTGACTTACCAGAATTTAGCGTTCTATAAATGAAGGAAAGTTGTTGGGAGGTTGGAAAGCTTCTAACAAAATGGAAAAACATGACACAAATTTAAACAACAGTACTGTCAACAGTGACACCCTTAATTATAGGCTATAATTAGGGGGGTTTTAGCTCAAGAAGGGCCAACTATATCTTTCCATCCACCTTATGCTTTTGAATGCAAGAATTTTGTTCTTTCGCAATTTTACCGGTACGCTCTAATACACGCCTCACTTTTCGGTTCCAAGCCGTCACCTGGAACACTAGAAAACAGCCTCTTTCCAAGGATTTACTGGTAATTTCACTGTCTGCAGTAAGAAGAAAGGGAATGAAACTGTGTATGATTACAGGGATATGTCTTTGCTCAAAAATACGTCAATTTTTTCTTCGTTTAGCAAATCAGCGATACTCTGAGCAGTACGTCATGCAAGCAAGTAATTCAATAAAATTATCGTCCCCCCCCCAGCCAAGAAGACCTGCAATATGGGGACCGGTCATCATTTATCGCCGAAGGGGGTAGGGGTCAGAGGATTTTGGTTGTGTCACGATAAAAACTGTTGGCGACGACTAGTACCCCTTCCGTTCCCCTTTAAAACCATGTGATCCTCCCAACCCCCCCCCCTCCCCCCCCAAAACCCGGCAATAAATAACGGCTGATCCCTAATGACAATAACTTGAGAAGAAATTTACTAAAATCTGTAGTCTGATAAACGCCTTTTAGTCCTCTCAATTTATATTTTTGTAGTAAAGCCACAGAGTTTCAAAAAGAAGACAACTTGTCTTTTTTGAAATATTTTTGGGAGTTAGCAAGCGCCAAACGTAGACAGTTATGAATCGCTCATAGCCTCCTGTCAGAGAATATCATTAATGCAATTAGCTTTGCAAATTTAAACTTGAGAGCTGGTACTTTAGTGTAAATAAACACCTGAAAACTTCACGTGATGACTTGCAATCAGCGACACATCGAGTTGGGATACGCTCGTACTTTTAGGATTATTTGACAAACTCAACCCCTCAACCATTTGATTTCACCCCTTCCTTTCCAAAGAATTTTGTATTTTTCATCGCCAAAACTTGGTTTGAATAGGGTAAGGTGGGGGAGGGGGAGAACAGGAGTAACAATTTGATTTGTGAGGCGATATCATCCGTCATTATAATGTTGAAGGCTACTTTGAAACAGCACCGTGTCCGAAAGAAAATCATACATTTGGCAAATATGTTTCAGGGTAATCAAATTCTAAATTTTTCACAAGGGGGAGGTATGTGAAAGAGGCGGAGAGGATGGATGGGGGAGGGGAGATGGATGCACACACTAATGGAGCCACACCCGATGAACGATTGCAACATGGGTGCACTGGAATTACGGTAGACGAAACATGCATGAGCGCTTTAATAATCCGGCCCTTGTTTCTAATTTGTATTCATATCTCGTAGTTTAGACTCTTTAAAAAGGTTAATTTTTGAGATTATCAAAATAGCACCTGCTTGCATAGATCAAATTTTTCATGTATCAATTTTAAGTGGCTTCGCTACTTGTCGTCTGAAAATATGCACGGATATTTGTCCGCGGACATCATCCGTTACCAAATGTTAACAGCTTTCCGAGAGCGACGCTCGAGGAAAAGTGTGAGCTTCGAGGAACTGCCAATGTCTGCAGACAAATATCCGTGCATATTTTCGCGACAAATGGAGGGTAGTGGTTACATACCACACACTCAGGTGAATAGTGCTTTCCGTGCACGCTGATTGGCTGGTTCGGAAGTGATTAGCAAGCACAATCACCAACAGCCGTCTGCAAAGTCACAGGGGTTTCCCAAGAGTTTCTAAAGTCCAAGTATGCCTGTTCAGTTATCTGAAAATTTTGATTTTCTATTTCCATTAATCCAGTTGCGCTGACATCATAAGGCCATCTTTCGACAATAAATTGTAACAAATCAAACACTTTCCTCAGGTCAACTTTATTTTGACTGCCTAAAATTTACAAACAATCTCTTGAACGCACTTTGAACTGACACATTTGCGTTTATCTTAACTGTCTCTATAACAATTGAGTACTGATCAAATATTCAAATCACTGGCAGCTTAAACGATGTTATAGCATGGTCCAATTATTCTCTCAAACAACTTTAGAAAAAGACTCTATATGCATGCAATTTAAGCTAACAAGAACAAAACAGTTGTGGATAATACTATTTTTTTTCATTGTATATAATCAACATAACAATCTATATATTACATGTCTTAGATAGTAGTATACATGTAAAAACTCTACGAGTATATATATGACCAACAGTGACATGATGCAGATTGTCTTCACACATCATCTTGATCAATATCTTGGACATTCATATCTTCTCTACCCTCCTCTGTAAATCAAACAGCTCACAGATCAATTTCATAAAAAAATAAATAAACAAATAAATAAATAAACAAAACAAAAACAAAAAACCAAGGCATATTTCAATAAAGTTGTTCAAGAAAGGAAGTAGGAGGATAACTTCCTCTTCAAAATGAAAGCTATTATGCCTTTGGGGCTGTGAAGATTGTTTTTTGTTTTTTAACTCTATAATGTTGTTAGTTTTTTAGGGGGGGAGGGTAGGGTAGGGGTGTTTCAGCAGTGGTTCTGCTAAATATAGCAGTGGAGCTGAGTGAGGAATGAAGTGAGGAAAATTAAAACTCCCCTGAGACGAAAAGATTTCCACCTTCAACTGTGCCACTAGTTTTTTGAACTCTGAAGCTTTTGTATTTCACCTGACTCCCACAAAACTACCAGCCATGTTTTGTGTTTGTGTTTGTGTTGAAATGAAGGCTAATCTTATTGTGGCTGCAAGAAGACAGAGGACAGAGGCAACTCTGATTTTTTACCCCCCAACAGCTGATTCTCCAAAGGGGTCGGCAACAAGGTGCTTAACTAAAAGTGGCCCTAGCAATAGGAGCTACAAAAAAGTATAACTCACCATCTCCTTGCATGTCACAAGTCCAAAGTGTCAAGTTGTCTCTCAGGAGCTGCATGATCAATGTGCTGTCTTTATATTTGTCTTCTTCCAGAGTCTCTATCTTGATAATGGCTTCATCAAATGCTGTCTTGGCCAACCGACATGCCCGATCTGGTGAGTTGAGGATTTCGTAATAGAACACAGAAAAGTTGAGAGCCAGGCCCAGGCGAATGGCATTGGTGGATGCCAGTTCAATCTCTGCTAGATCAGATGCTGCTTTGTAAGCCTCAAGGGATTTCTGTGCAGCATTCTTCCTTTCATCATCTTTACTAAATTCAGCCTTATAACGGAAATAGTCTCCTTTCCTGTGAAGTTGATACAACTCTCATCATTACTTAGCTCAATACAGGTTATGTTTTATGCTTAATTTTCTTTTCCGACAGTGGTGAGGGAGAATGGAGGGAGTATTGCTTAAGATTTCCAGCTAAAACACTTATTTCAAATGGTCCTCTAGGAACTATTTCATTTTAAATTTACAAGTTTTCACCACTTTCCAGACCTTCTTAAATTGCAAACCTACCCACCCCCACCCTCCAGACATGTTGTGTGGATAGTACCCTTTCCATCGCGGAGTATTTGAGTATGGGCACCACTGTGTAGCTTGTAGAGCCTGATACTCCAATCCAAGTGAGTTTAAACACTCTTAATCCTTTATACTGGAGAAATCCTTACATCCCCCCTCAGCCGCTCACACAAGTCTCACATGCAGAACAGAGTTTTCACGGATTGAAGTCCCTGAACTTGATAAAAAATTTCAATTTTTTGTGTCCAAGAGAACACACTACACCCGATAAGGTTCAAATGCACTGAATATAGGTCTGTAAACACTTAAGGATGGGATATCCCGTACAAAAAATTTTTATTTAGACTACATTTCAGTTGTTTTCATAGAGCTGAAAGTAATGACGAAAATCAAGAAACAATTTTCCTCTGAGTAATCTAACAAGGAGAATAGATAAAGGTGAAATTAGAGATACTGGCCACACTGCCAAATTAACATTTCTGACACTGTATGCAGGCAGATGCAAGAATCAAGCTCCTTCCTTTGCCACATAATAACTCTTATTCCAAAGCATGGTCAACGTGACTTTCTTCTGGACAGGCCTTCTGATTATTAAACTGGGAAAGGAGACTTTCAAGGTTTTTTTAATTTTAGTCATGAAATGATGCCTTACTCCTTCACACCCCAACAGCAGTCTACATATTCTCCATAACTCTCCCAAATAATGACAAGGAGCTCCTTTAGTTGGAGATCGTTTCCTCTATTCTTTTGACCTTTATGTGTGATACGAGGCTGGTATTGTAAGGAGAAATCAGATAGCAGTCACTCTTAGGAGTCAAAGGGTAGAGAGATAATTCTGGGCATGGTCAAGTTCTAAATTACTCACTCTAAGACTTCCTTATAGAGCCATACTTTAATTTATTATCAAGATAATTATATCGGAATGACTTTGATGGTTACTAATCCAAAGTCTGTCAAATACCAGATTCAAAACATCAAATACACTAAATGACACTAAATGTTGCATGCTAGGACTGAACATGTTTATTTCTACGATATCTGTTTTAAAAGTACTTTGTGAAAATGGACTCTCTCTCCTGATGCTCATCAACTTATTGGAAATACCAAAAGTAACTGACCCACTTCCAGGTCCACCTTAAGCTTTATTGCTAAAAAATGCATACGTACAGCAATATCTATACTTCACTTTAATATCTCAAAGAAGAAAGTAAATCATACAATTCCCTATGTACAAGGGGAAATATGGATGAAAATACATTTAAGACCTAAAATAATCATCACTTATCTCTTAGAAACACTAAGAATCCATGGAAAGAGAACTGGAAATAATTTACAAATTAGTTAGGCTTCCTTGCTGGGACTTTCTGTTGGAGTTTAGTTGACACAAGAGTGGCCTGAGCCATATCTACACTGCCATGTTACACTTAAATGTACTTCAAACTGATATGAAACATGGTTGTTGTTGAGAAATGGCTGAACAGGCGCAAAGCCAAGCATGTGCTGCTAACTAAAAACCTAAGCATAAACCCATGCAGGAATCATTCACATTCCGTGATGCTCACTCTACAACAATGACAAAAAAAAAAAGATGCAAGTGGATATTCATGTCCTATAAACTAATTAAGATGTCTCCATTCTTCCTTGGAATTCTTCAGGAATCCTTGTCTTCTACATCTTGCACTTCAATGTCTATAATGTAACACAATCAAAGTTAAGAGGGCCTAAAACATCCACGCTGAAATTACTCTCAGTTATTTGCTATTGCCAGAAACCTGCTACTTAAAAACGTAACCAGACCTTTCTAGTTAGTAGAGTCAAGTGGCTTGTACTTTGGGAATCCTATACATATAAAGCCAGTGAAATTTCCAGAAAATCCACACTGTAAACACACACTATGTTACAATTCTGTATTCATAAATAAAAGACAAATTAACTGTCTGGCAAACTCCAGCTCAAACTTAGATGTCAATATTCAATCATCTTCATGGAATTTCTGAAGCAGAGTGAAATATTGAAACAAATGCCTCAAATTATATCTTTCAGGGCTAAATTCCTGCATGCGTCACAAGCATTTAAGTTAGAGAAGACAGCTTCTCCAGATTTAATTGCTATAAAAAATCTTTTAAATTTTTGGAGGGCACAATGTCAAAAAAAAAAATAAAATGAAATTGAATTCTGCAGAAATGACCTTGCACTGTTAAAAAACTACTTAATTAAATCTGATTAGAAGGGTCAAAATCAAAACATAATTTCAATTAAGAGACAAAAACATACCTTCTCCTTGGGTCTCTGATGTCCACAGAGTCAAGTTGTCCCTAAGGAGCTGCATAATTAAAGTGCTATCCTTATACTTGTCCTCTGACAGTAGTTCAAGTGCAGCAATAGCTTCATCAAATGCTTCCTTTGCCAATTTACATG